TTTCACTTATTTGTGGAACATAAGGAATAGCATGGAGGACATTAGGAGAATGAAGGGAAAAATGAAAGGGGGGAATCGGAGGGAGAGATGAACCATATGAGACTATGGACTTTGAGAAACAAACTGAGGGTTTTAGAGGGGATGGGGGTGGGGGGATGGGTTAGCCCGGTGGTGGGTATTAAGGAGGGCACATACTGCATGGAGCACTGGGTGTTATACGAAAACAGTGAATCATGGAACACTACATCGAAAACTAATGATGTATTGTATGGTGACTAATATAACATAATAAAATTTAAAAAAAGAGGATTTTAATGAGCTTGTTGGCAAATAACTCCATGTACACTCAGTTGCAGGTAGAGCTTATGTTACATGGTACTAAGAACATGCATAAGGGATGCCTGGGTGGCTCAGTCAGTTAAGTGTCTGCCTTTGGCTCAGGTCATGATCCCAGGGTCCTGGGATCCTCCTTCTCCCTATGCCTGCTGCTCCCCCTGCTTGTGCACACTCTCTCTGACAAATAAATAAAATCTTTAAAGAGGCATGCATTAAAAAACCCCAAACCTGGAAACCAGCTACATCCCCAAATCCCTATGAAATATTGACACTATGTTTTCTATTTTTTTTCTAACACCCTTCTGTCAGGTCTCACCAGATCTAACTGCCAGCATTATAATTGGGGTATTCAAAAGAACTATTAAATGCTTGCACCTGTCCTCTTTGAATCCAGTATGCACACATGCACAAGCACAGCAGCACAGACTTACGCCAGCATCTGTAGTTGACAGTCAGGGTAACTCAAGCCTTCACACAAAAGCTTTACCCCACCATCTCCCAGGGCATTCTTTGCCAAGCACAGGTGCATCAGCCTCTGGTTGACGATCAAAGCAGAGGAGAGCTCCTTGCAACAGGCTTCTGTAAGGTGACAGTTTTCCAACCTGCCAAAGGGTCACACAAGTGGTAAGAGGGTGAGAACATTTCCAAAGCCCAATTTTCTTGGCTGTCACCAAAGGCTAGAGTTCCCAACTACAGCTTTTCTTGTTAGCCCCCTTCTTCTCTCACCATGTGTTTAATGCTCAATCATGAAGGACCAAGAGTGAGAGAAGGGTAAGATGCACGAGCCTCCTGCCTGGGACCAGAAATGGGAACCAGGTGTCCACATCAGTAGGAGGTCCCATATGGGTTTCCCTGTATGTCCCGTACTACCATTGCTCTTCCCTATGTGGCCTCAGACCTAAAACAGAGATGCTCCATGGGAAGAGAGGCAGTACTTATGATAGCCTCTGCAGGAAGCATCTTGGGTGTTTCAGAGTCGTGCACAACAACTTGGCGCTCTCCTCCGGGAGCTCATTTGTTGTGAGGTTCAGGCAAGTGAGGGACTGGTTGATCTTGAGGGAGGAGGAGAGATGGGCCCATTGCTGGGTGGTGGCAGAACAAGTCACCAACCTGCCAGAGAAATGGGAACAAGTCATTCTTAAGAACCAACCACTGGATAACTGTCTCCAGTTTTACCCCTCATCCCACATTATGTCACGTCCTGGACTAAATGATGTGGAGCAGCGGCTAAGTGTGGTCCCTGGACCAGCTGCATCAGCATCACCTGGCAAGCAGTTAAAAATGCAAATCCTTAGAAACTCTGGATGCAGAATCCACCAATTTCTGTTTTAGGGTGTCCTGTATCACCTGGAAGATTCCTGGGCCACATCCTCACGATTCAGAGGATCTGAGTGAGACCCAAGAATTTGGGTTTTAACAAGGTCCCAGGTGATGCAGCTGCTGCTAGTCCGGAGACCACATGTTGAGAACTACTTATTTAGAAATCAGTCAATCAAGCATATCAGGCAACAAGGTGCCCATACTCTATCCCTGGAGAGAATATTCTTACTATGGAGAATGGAATTTCATTGGGACATTATGTGCATCATGGTCTTTGGAGTGGGGTTTCTAAAAAAAAAATAAATAAATAAAATCCTGGTTCTGCTATTTACTGTATACGAAAATGTGGCCAAGTTACTTAAATTTATCCAACCTCATTTCCATCTTTAAATTGGAAACAAGTCATACCCTCATGTTGAGTGTTTATTAAAGTTGATAATTCACATGAAGTGCTAAGTGGACTATGTACCATATAACTAAACTTAAGTAAAATTCAACAAAAACACTTTCTTCTCTTAGAGTCTAACCTATAATAGAGGAACCAAAGTTAACTTGGGCATTGGAACACAAAGTAGAATATTTAATGGCTTCCCATAAAATAAAACAAATTTATATGGAGTCTCCTCCTTCCATTTTGGGTATCCATTTACTCCTTGAGAAACAAGTTAATACCCCCAATCTTCAAATTTCACACTTTTCCTGGTGAATCCTCACAGGAAAAAGAAAGGAAGGTCATCGGTAACAGTCAATTATGGCAGCGGTTACTATCAATAATGCAACAATGAATACATGTGTGCTTGGATTTGGTCTCATTCAGTCCTCAAATCCTTGGGAGATGTGCATTACTCCATCCTACTGATGGGGATAAGACCTAGTTAAATAGCCCAAGATCATAGCAGTAGAGGCAGAACCACAATCTGAGACCAACAGATCACCTTAAACTATGTTCCTATTGCTACTCAAAAGTGGACAAGTGAGGATCAATGGAACCCCATGATGATTAATGAAAATCCTCACAGAGAAATCACGTGGAGAACATCCCAAGGTGAGATCTCTCAACCCAGAGGAATACCAAGAAAGGGAAAATCTGATGCTCTCAAAGCATCCTTGCCTGGACAGATGAATCTGGACAGAATCTGGTATTCTGAATCATGACATAGGAGAAACATAAATCATGAATAAATTCTCTCTGAGAGAGGATTGTATCCAGTTTCTGAGCATTTCTTTGGACTCTTATGGATAGTTGTTCAGGTTGTTCAATGATCAATACAAGTGGAAACTAAACTCCAGCCCATTTTCTGTTCTGGGCCATGTGCCCTGAGTAGGAGTTTCTAATCAGAATAAGGGATTCCCCCCCTCCAATTTATACAGAGTTGCTATATAGGCTTGTGGCAGCTCTGTGCACATGCTGGGAGTTTTCGGTGATGGTGGGATATACCTTAGGTATTGCAGATTACATTTTGGGTGTCTCAAGATCTCACACAATATGGGAAGCATATCATTCTGGTCATTTCCTTGAAGGGTCAGATGCATGAGAGTCTCATGACCACCAAAAACAATGCAGAAGCTCTGATAAGCATCTGCTGGGAAAATATTTTTGAGGCTAGGGAAATGACAAGAGAGGTGAAATCTTGCATTTCTGTATACATGGGAACAAAGGGCCGAAACAGATTTAAACATGGGAAATGGTTCATATTTTCCACCTCTATTGAGGTGTGGTCAAAAAACCATATATATTAAGGTATAAAACTTAATGTTTCAATATACTCCTACCTTGTGAAATCATCACCACAATCAAGCTAGTGAACATACCTATAATTCACATAATCACTATTTCCTTTTTTTTTTTTTTTTTGGTGAGAACATTTGAGATCAAGTCTCTTAGCAAATTTCAAGTATACAGTGCAGTATTGTTAACTGTTGTCACATTGGTTCACAGTTACATCTCCAGAACTCATTTTGCATTAACTGAAACTTTGTATGGCTTGACTAACATCTAATTTTAGAAACGATCGGAAGCCCCAGTTTCTTTAGTCATCTCAGACTTTTGCAAAGGGGAAGTTGGTCATCAACAGTCATTTCAGACAAAAGCTGTCCTGCGACTTTTTGAAAGAGATAAGGAAGGGTAGTAGCTTCTTCCCCTGAAGTGTTACCAATGGGCACATTTCAGGAGCACTATGTCCTGCTCAACATCTTCCATGTAGAATCAGGATCACATGGCCGGTGTAACCCTAAGTGGCAGAAGAGCTCCTTCTTTCTCTACATTGAGCAAGAAACCTGTGAAAGAGGACACCTGCATCTGGAGAGGGTCTTGCTGGTACCAAAGCCCACTTTGCCGACTAAATAATGTTTTCTCTCCTTCCCTAAACCTCCCCCGCAGTCTGCCCATGTGTAAGCTTCCAGGACTTTTCCAGCACACGAGCAGCACAGGTGAGCCCCACAGAAAGACCCTGAGGTGCTGTCACAGGTGGATACGAGCACACTCTATTCTGATTACAAGTATTTAACTTGTGTAATTACCTTTTTCTGGTACTTCTGAGCCCCATCATTTCTTCCCAACTTCATTCAACTACATAGATTTTTGGATCATATTCAGACACACATACCCAGCCCAGGTCACAGGCCTATCTCAGCACATCGACACCATCTCTCCAACAGTGCTCCCAGTCAGGGGTGATTTTGTACCCCCTGGGGACACCTGGCAATGTCTGGAGACATTTTAGGTTGTCACAACTGGGCATGTGTGGGTGTCACTGGCATCTGGAAGGTAGAGGCCAGGGCTAGGGCTAAAAATCCTATGATGCACAGGACAGGCCCCCACAACAAAGAATTATCGAGCCCAACCCCAGTGTCTGCAGAGGTCAAGAAATCCTGTTTATGCACAGCCCTATGGTTGTCTTAATGGGATTAAAGCTGCCCCCAGGATCTGGATGTTCATCACGGTGTTTCGTGGACAGCCAAATCATATTTCACATTGTATTAAAATTACTTTATAAGAAAAAGTGGAATGGTGGTTGCCAAGGGCTGGGGAGAAGGGATCATGGGGAATTATTGTTTAATGGGGACAGAGTTTCAATTTTGCAATATGAAGAGTTCTGGAGATGGATGGTGGTGGTGGTTGCATAATTATACACTTAAAAATGCATAATTGTGAACTTAAGAATGGTTAAAATGTTAAGTTTTATGTTATACCACAATAAAAAATTGGAAAAAGTTACTTCATATGATTCAGTAGACAAATGTAAGGTATGAACCGTCTCAATTATGTCTTGAGTACCCAGTTGGACTTTGGGAAAGGAATTCAAATATTGGTCCAATATTAAAAATGTAAGGAACGTGGTTATGCCCTAGGGTTTTAATCCTGGGATTAGCTTCTACTTACACCACTTTCTGAAGATTATGGGTAGCAGAGTCTATTTTTTCACAACGAAGCTTCACTGATGAAGTACTAAGGAAGCTCTGGCTGATGTCTAGAAATACCAGATTCTTGTTTGAGTTGAACACGGAAAAAAGATCCACCCAGAAAGGAAACACATATTGATCATTCTGGAACCTACTGGGATGAGACAAAGGAGAGAATTTACCAAATACTGCTGGAGAGAAAACTAACATTTGTCCATCACTGCGAAGATATTTTAGGGGGGGGTTTCTCTGGGCATATACCCCTAATAAATAAGTGTGGCTCTGAAAGTCAGATGATTTAATCACTTAGCATCACTATCAGACAACTCATCACAAGACATATCACTGGAGAAAGAACTCCAACTTTTTTTTTTTTTTTTAAGATTTTTTATGTATTTGGGGGACTTGGGAAAAGATGGTGGAGGAGTAGGGGACCCTGTTCCAACTTGTCCCCTGAATTGAGCTGGATATCCACCAGACCACTCTGAACACCCACGAAATCAGCCTGAGATGTAAGAAGATATATCTGGATCTCTACAAACAGAATATCGCAGACAGTTGATTTTGAGGTATGAAGCAGGGAGCCATGATTCCACAGGAAGATATTGGAAGATCAACAGAAGGGGGAGGGAGCCGTTGGGATCCTGCACCACCGATGTGTGAAAGCCTCCTGCACTGGGGACAGGGCACAGACTTGCAGACTGGTAGCGGTGGGGAAAGGACTTTAGGGCAGGCCCCCAGACTGAAACCTGGAGTGGCAGGGCTGCATGTGTGAACTGGGGGTGGCTGGTGGTTTTAGAAGCACAAAGGGCAGAGATGTGCCCTGACCTGGAGGCGAGGACTGGGAGTGCTGCTGAGCGGTGCACAACCCAGGATGCTGCAGTTTTTAGCAGCATAGACAGAAATGGAGATAGTGTGGCCTGGAGAGATCACTGAAGAACTGTGATCTCTCTGTTCTGAGGCAGAGGGTTGGAAACGGTCTCTTCTGCTCTGACTCTCGGAAGAGACGCAGAAAGCCACCAGGGAAAGCTGCCAGAGAACAAAAGCCCCCCAAAACTGGTTTTCACTTAGCCCATCCCGTGCCACAGGGGGCAGGGCAACTCTGCCCAAATAGGGTTGCCTGCGTAACAGCGTGGCAGGCCCCTCCCACAGAAGACAGGCTGGGAGAACAAGAGGCTGACAACCCTAAGGTCCCTATAAAACAGGTGCATCTTGCTTGGGTTGTGGTCAATAATTTGGATTCTGTACATTCCCTCAACCACCCCTCAACAGAATGACTAAGAGGAGGAACCCCCAAGATAGGAAAGACTCAGAGACTATGACTTCTACCACTGATTTACAAAAGGATACAGATATAACCAGGATGTCGGAAATGGAATTCAGGGTAGCAGTTGTGAAGACAATAGCTAGAATGGAGAAATAATTAATGGCAACAGAGAGTCTCTAAGGGCAGAAATGAAAGCTGAACTGGCAGAACTTAAAAATGCTATCAATGAGATCCAATCTAATCTTGATACTCTAACAGCTAGGGTAAACGAGGCAGAAGAATGAATTAGTGATCTAGAAGACCAATTGATAGAAAAGAACAAAAAAGAGGCTTGGGAGAAACAGCTCAAAAATCCATGAAAACAGAATTAGAGAAATAAGTGACGCCATGAAAAGCTTCAATGTCAGAATTATTGGGATACATAATGGGGTGCAGAGAGAGAGAGAGGACTAGAAGATATATCTGAGCAAATTGTAGCTGAGAACTTCCCTAATCTGGGGAATGAAACAAACATTCAAGTCCTAGAGGCAGAGAGGATCCCCCCAAGATCAAGGAAAACAGACCAACGCCCTGGCATGTAATAGTAAAACTCTTAGAAATCTTAGAACCAAGGAAACCATCTTAAGGGCAGTTAGGGGGAAGAGATTCCTTATGTACAGAGGGAGGAACATCAGAACATCCAGAACATCAGAGGAACGTCAGACCTATCCACAGAGACCTGGCAAGCCAGAAAGGCCTGGCAAGACATAATCAGGGTACTAAATGAGAGGAACATGCAGCCACGAATACTTTATGCAGCAAGGCTGTCATTTAGAATGGATGGAAAGATGCAGAGCTTCCAAGACTGGCAGAAACTGAAAGAATATGTGACCACTAAGCCGGCCCTGCAAGAAATATTAAGGTGGGTTCTATAAAAGGAGAAAGACCCCAAGAGTGATATACAACAGAAATTTACAGAGACAATCTATAGAAACAAGGACTTCACAGGCAACATGATGACAATAAATTCCTATCTTTCAATAATCACTCTCAACGTGAACGGCCTAAATGTTCCCATAAAATGGCACAGGGTTGCAGATTGGATAAAAAGACAGGACCCATCCATATGCTGTCTTCAAGAGACTCATTTGGAACCTAAAGATACATCCAGACTGAAAGTGAAATGATGGAGATCCATCTTCCATGCCAACGGACCTCAAAAGAAAGCTGGG